CCCAGGCGCCCCTAGATTTTTCTTTTCTCTCACATAAAAGACATCATGAAAACTCCAGGGGCCCTGCCACCTTCCGTCTTGTTTTGCTTTGCATGGATCCCATTCCCAGGGTGCCTCAGGGTCAGAAGTGGCTGCTCCCACCCTAGCCATCGCTTCCACATTCCAGCAGCAGCAGCTGCAGAAGCAGGAAAGGGAAACTAAAGGTGCAGACCTCAGCGAAGGCTCCTAAGCCGCCTTATACACACTTCAGTACTGCTGTCCAGAATCTGGTCACGCGGTCACACTGGCTGAAAGAAAGGTTGGAAATGTTGTATCGGTTCTGAATATCCATGGGCCTAGCTAAAAACCCAGTTCCGATTGCTGTGAAAGTAGACGAAGAAGGGTGGTCAGGGGACAAAGTAGTTTCTGCCACTGTGGGTATGTTTTTTATTCGAGTTAGAGGGCAAGACCTCTTCAGTTACACCTAAGTGAAGACTTCTTTTTCCTGTTTTTGGCCCCACTTGACGTAATTCCAGAAGTGCCTCGTGTCACTTCTGGACCTTTTGCAATCTCCGTCTACATGAGCGCCAATTAGAGTCCTAGTACTAAGTTGGTTCTAATGGTAGGACGCTGTGCTTGCCTGACCTAAGCCAGCCGTTAGTAGGACGAGGGACCAGAGCCACCATATTACACCTCAGACTCAAGGGACGGGACAGGACTTCTCACCACCGATGTTTTGCCGAATCTCAACCCTTCCCAGTAGCTGAACCAACACGGGCTGTTTTCTAAATTTGCAGAACCAGCTTTTGCTGCCATGTGCATGTGATGTTAGTGAAATTCAGAATGTTTCCAAGCCAAACTTCCATTAAGAGGGAGATGCTTGATATGAGCATTCTGATACGAGACAGTGACATGCAGGAGGGTGTTGAAGCATAACCAAGATGGAGAGCTGGACGGGCATTCAAGTCAGAACATGCTGGGATGTGCCGGCTCTTCCTTCCTCCCGCCACTGCACTGTGCCGTGCCCACCTGTGCTTTTAGTCCACACTCATCTCAGAAAACTTGATCCGTGACCTCCTTAATTCAGTACCTACTGCAAGCCTCACCCCTTCCTCCACATTAGCGTCCCATGATGTCACGCACAATGTTAAACATAACTGGAAAATTAATTGAAATACCTGAAGGTTCCTGTTTTGCAAGCATCAGGCTGAGTTACATCATTTATCCTGTTTTTATTCAGATTTTTAATTTAAGATCACGTTAACACAGGCTCTATCACTGTAGTAATAATTGCAATAAGATGCAATTGTCACATAGTAATTATGTCATGCTGTGGTATGTAATTTTGATTTAAAGCCATACCACTTTCTAAACAGTTTTAGAAAGGAAAACAGGCATGTGGCATGAAGGCAAGGTCAAGGCTGATTGGAGTGTAGCATCTACCTCTCTGTCCACTGACGAGAATGTTCTCCTTTCCCACATAGATACTTCCAGGGGTTCGGATCATAATTGCCAATCCAGAAACAAAAGGACCGTTGGGCGACTCCCACCTGGGTGAGGTGAGTTACAGGGTGCCCACCCAGGAGAGGTGACTTACGGGGTGCTCACTTGAGTGAGGCAAGTTATGGGGTGCCCACCCAGGAGAAGTGAGATATGGGGTGCCCACCTGGGAGAGGTGACTTACGGGGTACTCACTCGAGGGAGCCGAGTTATGGGATGTTCACCCGGGAGAGGTGAGTTATAGGGTACCCACCTGGGAGAGGTGACTTATGGGGTGCTCACTTGAGTGAGGTGAGTTATGGGGTGCCCCCCCTGGGTGAGGCAAGTTACGGGTGCCCCCCAGCAGAGGTGACTTATGGGGTACTCATTCTGGTGAAGTGAATTACGGGACACCCACCCGGGTGAGGCAAGATGTGGGGTGTCCACCTGGGTGAGATGTGGGCTATCTGCCCAGGTGAGGTATGAGGTATCCACATGGATGAGGTGAGTTTGGGGTGTCCTCAGAGATAGAGCCTCTGAGACCACATCTACTCTCCTGCTCTCCGCTTCCTGTCCTCCTGGACACCAGTCAACCCCACCCCCCTGCCACCAAGCCACAGTGCACCTCCTGATCAAATTGGTTAAGTCTCAAGTGACTGGCTGGAAAGTGACTCAAAATGAGCTATGAAAGTTCAGGCTACAAAGTGCATTTCCGTAAGGAAGCCGTCATTGCTGAGTTCCTGGGGACGAGGGTGGAGCCGTGTGCACAGAGCAAACGGCCGCAGCCTAGACTCATAGAATATCAGTAAACGGTGGCAAGTGGCTTAGGAAATGACAGGTATTTCCTTCGGTCAGAAAGTCCATACTGGCTTTGACCCTTCGGCCCATATTTACGATGAAACCCGGCTGACCCCCCTCCTGCTGCGTGCAGCTGGAGAACACACATCCTCAGCCCGCCGTCCCCGATCCTTCCCCTGCCCCACTCAGCCAGGCCACAGAGGACGCAGAGGACATCAGGGAAGGGTGCCAGCACACTTACCTTCCCTCCCGTTCTCTCCAAGGCCGAGCCTGCCCTGTGCACTGGGTGGAAGGAAGCCCATCCTGCCCGGGGGGAGCCTCCTGGCTGCTGGGGTCACCGGCCCTGTGTGGTCAGCTTTCCCTCCTTACAGACCTGCCTGTAGCTGACACCCCATTAAAAACACCCCCGTGCAACACACAAGAGAACAAACCGGTGGTTGGCGGAGGGGAAGGTGGGTGAGCGGATTGAGAGGTACAGACTTGCCGTTGTGAAGTGAATGAGTCTCGGGAGTAAAGAGTGCAGCCCGGGAATTGTAATAATGGTGCACGGTGACTACAGTTACTGTTCCGCATACAAGTGTCAGATCCCTCTGCTGTGCACGGGACACTAACGTAACCTCCTGTGTCAGCCCGCCTTCAGCTGAAACAACAAAGCTGGGCCACCGCTTCTCCCGGAGCCCTCGAGCTGTAAACGGTGACTAAAGGACAGTGCTGACCGCTCCCCAGACTCCATTTCTGTGTGGGCTGTGGTTTGGCCCTTCGTTTGAATTTCTCAGTTATGTGTAAAGATCACAGCTGAGGTGATAAAATTCCGTACAGATCTTATTTAGGAATTTCCTTTGAGTACATTCCTAGATGAGATTGGGGAGGACGGCGTGCTGTCTTGGGCACCTGGGGGAGCCGGCCAAGGCCCGGAATCCACCTCACTCTCGTTTTCTGACCGGGAATGTGTCTTAGTGAGGAGATTGTGTGTTGGAGAGCAGGGGACAGGTTTCACTCCCCCTGCGTGATGGTGTCGCTTCTGTGTCTGCTCTAGGCTTTGGTTTGTTCAGCACGGAGGACTAGGTGGCTGCAGGTGCCCAGCGGTGAACACATTTGATAGGTTCACTTTAAAACCCTCAGTCTGTTTTAATGGGCTTCTCAAGAGGTGGGCAGCCTCATTGTTCGTTTAGTGGCTCTATTCCAGTAAATTCTGTGGCGTCTGAGTCTACCCTGAAGCCTGCGTGAGATTAACACGGCCGGGTTCCTGCCAGACATGGGCACTCTGATGTCACTGACTCCCAGGTAGTTTGCTCCCTGCAGTCCCTCCCCAGCGAACTCACCCAGTTCTGTTGCTTCCTTCACAGATCTGGGTTCACAGTGCCCACAATGCCAGTGGTTATTTCACCATTTACGGAGATGAGTCCCTGCAGTCAGACCACTTCAACTCAAGGTTAAGTTTTGGAGACACCCAGACGGTCTGGGCACGGACAGGCTACTTGGGGTTCCTGCGGAGGACGGAGCTCACAGATGCAAACGGAGGTAAGAGCCCAGGCAGGTGGGTGGAGAGGCCCCCAGGCCCTGAGAACGTTGTGGGGCTGGGACCCCAGCCCCATGAGCACATTGTGCATGCTTGCTGCAAACCAGCTGAGCGTGAAGCAGAGGAGGGTCAGTGTGAGTCCAGCACGCTGGAGCCACACGTGAGAGACTGTGTGCTCCATGAGCACAGTCTCTCACGGAGCCAGGGACAGATTTAAACCCGGCACAGGAGCCAGGACACCACGCCCCTCCATGCAGTGGACGGACCCCTTGCCCACCCGCAGCAGCCCCATGCCCCCGAGGCCCACCTGGACAGCTGCTGCAGGAGCACGCACTGCCCTCTGCCTGACCAGACCAGGCCTGGCCTGTCGGGAAGGGGAGGTAGCAAGGCACTCAGGCCTTGGGCAGGGGGAGGCGCTGTTCTCTCCTTCGCTGGCAGCTGGCGCTAGGCAGGAGAGTTATAAAAAATGAAAAGGTACAGGCCTACTTGCTGTGAGAGTCTCAGCTCCTAGTTCCACTCAAGGACTCAGTTATTTCAGAAGATGGGAGCTGAGATTTCCTAGGGAGATCCTGCCGGACCCAAACCCCAGGAGGTGAGTGTCTAGGAGGCTTCCTGACACACCTGCCTGGCAGGAGCTTTGTGAACCTGGCTGAATTGGCATATATTTAGTGGAAAAGCACAAAAACATTTTGGCATCGCATTTGCAATTCGGGAAAATCATAGACTGTTTTATTTGAGGGTGCTCTCTGGGGTTCCTGTGAGGAACGAAGCAAGGCAGGGCCATGTGATCCAGACCCCCCAGGAGGAGGGACGGGTCCCATCCCGCGGAATTCTGGGGTGCTGGGGACAGCACTGTTGCTGTTTCCTCACCTCTGTGACCCCCCAAAAGATGGGAGTCCTGCTGAAGTAATAGAAGCCAGCAAATAAACATCCCCATCTCATCCGACTTGAACTGGAAAAGATTTCCCCACTCAGAGGTGGAATTCTGGCAGTTACGGCCTCATGGGATGCCATCAGAGGGGATGGGGTTTGCTTTTGGCTGTGCTGCGCCCTGACCTGTGGCTCTGGGAGAGCACGGTGTCTGCCGGCTGCCAAGGGGTGGAGGTGCTCCCGAGGAGTAGGAGATAGTGTATTGAAGGTGTGCAGGAGCTGGTCCAGGATGTGCGCTCTCCCCTGGGGCGCTGAGGTGTGCAGCCGGCTCTCCGTGAGACCATGATCCTGGCCAGGCTGGTGTCCTAGGGCCCTAGGCTGCACAGCGTCCCAGGAGAAAGGAACTAGCTACCCGCACTCAGTGACCCCATTCCTTGGCATGTGTCTCTCACTCAGGGGTAGTTTTAATCTTAGTATCTTACAAAGCAGCTTGAGCACCATTGTGGTGAGGTTCACACACGTTTTCCACTCCCTGCACAGAGCGCCATGATGCCCTGTATGTGGTGGGGGCGCTGGACGAAGCGATGGAGCTGCGGGGGATGAGGTATCACCCGATAGACATTGAGACCTCGGTCATCAGAGCCCATAAAAGCGTCACAGAATGGTGAGTAGTGGGCGGGCATTTGCACCCAGCTGCCAGTGACCAGGCCGGCGAGGGTCCTTGGGTTCATCCTCCTTCCCTGGTCCATGTGGTTGGCTGTGTTGCTGGTGGGGCTGGCCTGGGGGCCCCGAGCTCACTCGGTGCCTTTACATAGTGGTAAAGGGTGCAGAAAGGCTCCACACCATTAACTGTAGGTTTGTTTGTTCATTTGGCCCCAGAGCTGGCAGGGATCTGATGTGCTCTCGGAGCTCAGGAACCCCAAGGGAGGCACATTCTGAAATCGCTCATGAGCAGTCCTTCCTGGTGGGTATATGGGCCTGAGTTGTTCATTGCCCCTTGTGAGCTTACAGGCTAGTTATTTGTTGCCATTTATGGGCCCTGGACATGGGCGGCTCCGCAGCCTGGAAGAGAGAAGAGAGAGTTTGCGAACCCACGCGTGGCCCTGTGCTTCCGATGTGGGGACGTCCCTCCTCACCCCGAGGCTGCTGGAGCTGCAGGGGGACAGGAGCCGGGATCCCTGGAGAGACTGCAGCCCAGAGACGGCACAGGGCTACCTCGGTTTCCACACCATTAGCTATACATACCGATCACAGTCTCCCGGTCTGTGGTTTTAAGAAAATAACTTAGACTGGTTTGTATTGTCTACCGCAAGCATTTTCCATGTTGCAAAGGGCTGTTTTCCACCTTAAAGGCCTGTGACGGGGACTCCCTGCCGCCGCCTGTGGGTTTCTGTTCCAGGATTCGAGTTTTTCTTCTAAGCCCTGCTGTTGCCACCTGCCCTGTGGCCTCACCTGATGCGCATGGGGCCTCGCACTCACCTCACCTCACATGTGCACCCATAGTTCCGTCCTGCAGGGCTCTGGTCCTTCAGAAACCGCCCAGCACAAACTGCTCTGTGGTTCTTCCTGCTCCTTCTCACGTTCCCTGCCCCGCCTGGGCGCCTCCTCCAGCACACACCCTCGGTTACTTTGCACCAAGGCGGAAGGCAGACACTCACGTCCCTCCATGTGGCTCTTTCAGGGTGGCATGGTCCAGCTAACCAAATCTTGCCCTTCTCCTCCGTTGTCTCCAGTGTCGGACATCTGTGGCCCTAGGAAAACAATGCTCATCCAGCCCATCACTCCTGGCAAACCCCCTTCTCCATCAAATACAGAAACCCCGATTCCTGATACTGTGTCATAAGCGTCAAGTGCTATAATAAAATTATACCACAAGTGGCTAATATACATATAAGATCTCTGATATCACAAACTCAGTATGGGCTCACTTGGGCCACACAGAGCAATGTTTTACTGTCATAAAGTGTCCTATTATGGGAATTTGGCACCAGCGCATCTTGGGAACGGACCTTGGCAGGACTGTTCCCTTAGGTACACACTGATCACAACAAACTCAAGAAGCAGTAATCTGTTGAACACATTCTCCAATATTTCCCTTCCACATTAACGTATATATTGGTCATACTAAACAAAACGTGCGGGTTTTTTTCTGAATAGACATACCCATACAGTTTTAGAAAACAGTAGTGAGTTTCCCAAATACTTGCTGCCTCCTAGACCCTTCTGTGCGTCCGGCTGGAGGACGCAGATGCCAGCAACCCACTGCAGGTCCCTGGAGCCTGGCCACCGCCTCCCATGCCTCTTCTGCCCTGGACACTTCTGACCGCCTCAGCCAGCAGACCACGGGCACCAGGAGCAAAGCCTGTTAAGGCCCTATAACCACTCCCGTTTAAAGACCAACTTTATAAACTGCAGGTGGCTTAAAGTGTAAAGTACTGAGTTTAGGCTCCCACAGATTGGCCAGACCAAATCTTCTGGGTGACCCTCCACTGAAAGATCCCAAATAAAATGCTTCTAGATGAATCTCTGACTTTCTGGAGGATCCTTCCCCGACACAGATCACCTCTTGCTGCCTGACACTCCTTCCAGACTCAGTGCTTCAGACAGCAGCGCGTTGTTGCGCCCCCATGTCTGCAGTTGACTGCTGGGTTGTCTGGCCCCAGTGTGACTGGGACCCATGGTCAGCCAGGCACCAAGCTGGTGGCTCTCCACGTTTCTCACCCTCCCTCGACGTTCCCGCTCCTGCTGTGGCAGAGGGAGGTCAGGACCAGCCCCACAGCCCCAGGGGCTGTCCGGCCTCTGCTAACTTACCGCTGACCAAGCCCAAGGCCAGGACTCCACCTTAGGGGCCTGGTGTGCACATGGTGGGGCTCCCGTGGCACCCTTGCACTGTGTGCCCCTCGGCCATAGCTGGGAGCAGAGGGCAGGGCCGTGTCAGGGCGCTGCCTGGCACGAAGATCCCCTGCATGTGCGGCGGCCCCCGTGAGAGCTGGCCGGTAGAAAACCCTAACCATGGGAGTGTGTGCAGCCACCTAATGAGCAAAAAGCTATGGGCTCAGAGAGACTGTCAATGTGCAGGCAGATCAGAAAAGAACCAGATGGTACTTCTTGAAAAGAAAATGAAATTGTTACATGAACACTTCATGGCATAGTGATGATTTTTTTCTCTCTTGCAGCGCTGTGTTCACCTGGACCAATTTGTTGGTGGTGGTGGTTGAGCTTGATGGGTCAGAGCAAGAAGCCTTGGACCTGGTCCCCTTAGTGACCAACGTGGTTCTGGAGGAGCACTACCTGGTGGTGGGGGTCGTGGTCGTGGTGGACATCGGTGTCATCCCCATCAACTCCCGGGGAGAGAAGCAGCGTATGCACCTGCGGGATGGGTTTTTGGCAGACCAGCTAGATCCCATCTATGTGGCCTACAACATGTAGTCTCGTCTCTGGTCCCATAGACTTTTCTAGGAAAGTAAACATTTTTCTGTGTCACTCAAGTTTGCAGACATGAGGGCCACATTCACCGGAATGGAGCCTTTGTTCACGCGGTGGTGAGACTTTCCACAGCAGTCCTGATTGGCATGGGGGTGAAATGTGAAATGTGAATTTACCACTGAAGTTTGCTCAGAAGGACTTTGGATTACTGCCTTCAGTTTGTTGGAAAAACCCATTTCAAAACTTTCTTTTCTTTTTTTTTAATTATTGGATAATAAGTGCTTTCTTCGTAAATGTGGTATTTTGTTAAGCCAAAATAGCAATTAAAAAAATATTCTGCCCTCCAGATGGGTTCTTTTAAACAATTTATGTAGTGTGACAAAGAATTGTTTTCTCTGTTTAATGTGTCATGAAATCTTAATGACATGGACCTTGTTACTAATTTAAGCCATTGCTAGATTTCATCCTTTTAGGAAAGTTTGTTGAGGTACGAGAAAACCTTCCAAATAGCACCTTCCGATTAGATTTTAGCAGCTTTCTTTGTCAGAAATGTGCTGGATAAACAAAGGCTAACATGTGGCCTTTGAAGTTAGCATAGAATGAGAAGAAATTATAAATAAGGTGTATTTCGGCAACTCTCTTGCAGATATCTTTGTACTAAACTAAAAAGATAAAATAAGTTAACTTCTTCATATGTAATTATGTACAAAACGTTTAATTTATTTTGATCTCTTTAGAAGTATAAAAGAGAAAAACATTCAAGAACATTAAAGTCTTGTAATGTTTGCTAATATAAAAAAGTGTTGTATTATCTTGCGTGGATAGTATCACAACAAATATATATATATGAAATATAAATTCACTAATGAACAAAGGAGATTTTAAAGTTTAAAATGCAGAACCTGTCACTTGCATGGTGTCCCCTCCACTGTACTGTAGATAAAGCGAGATTCTCTCACACCCACTTTGCTGATGCGAGCAATCCCAGATTGCCAGTAGCCCGGTCTAAATGTTTCTTCTAGAACCAGAGACCAGCAAGTGAAATTATTGCCATCTCCAAGATGGGGAAGGAATTTGAGGCGAAATGTGCACTATTTTCCCTTTGCTGCGGGGGCAACGGTGAGCGGTCGGTGCCAGTGTGTGCTTACGACCCTGAGCGGACATTAGGGAAGGCAGGTGTACGACCCTGAGCGGACATTAGGGAAGGCAGGTGCTGAGCAGCACCACTTAGCTGCAAGAAATCCTTGTTGTTCATCCTTTTTGTTAATGTCACCCTTTTTGGTCCTTGGTATGAAAAGGAGTGCTCTTTTGTGGTCATTTGCACCGGGTTGTGTTGATTCCCCTCAGATGGCCATTGTATGGAGTGGACAGACTGTCCAGAACAGCTTTAAGGGAAAAGACTCACATAGGAGACTGTCACCTCAGCCAGCTCTCTGGGGTTCCCCCGCCCGGAGCTCTGGGGCTCCACTCTCATGAGCTGCCCCAGGACTCCTCACAGAGCCACTGGCTGGAGCGAGAAAGCCTCCCAGCTGCCTTCATTTCGCCACCTGTGGATGACACGTTTCTGATTTCCGTCTCTCGCTGCTGCTGCCGCCTCACACACCTTCCGATTTCCACGTCTCATCTGTACACTCCTCGATCGAAATAGCCCATCTGTGTCCAGCCAAGAAGAGGTATCCGCTGTCCAAGCGTGATCTATCTCGTAACTGCCCCAATATGACCCTGCAGTGGCTCTCGTTGCTAGAAATGCATGACCAAGATTGTTGCTGGGCAAACCTTAGAGTCTCTTTTCATCATATTGTAGGCAATGTCTTCATCTGCCTTTGCTGTATGCGCCAGCAGTAAGCCCTTTGCTAAGAGAGTTTTGTTTGACTTCCAAGATCCAAGGCTAATTGTTTTTTAAAAAATTTAAGTGGCATTTTTTTTAAATTTGTCTGCATGTGGGGTGCATCCTTCCATCTCCACAAATTATTTGATTTTTAAGATATTGTTTGACTTCATTGCTGTGTGTGAATATTTCTCTACATGCTTCAGATACACATTCCTACAGTCTTCTGCTTCCTAAGGGGGAAAAAACCCACCACACACAGAAAAAAAGGCGTTTTCTTACACACACCCACCTTGTTTAAGGGGAAGGAGCTTTAAGGTTTCAGGTAGGATACTGACTAGGAAACAGAGCTACAGGATTAACTTGTGAGGTCTAGCTGATGTCGGAAGCAAACAACAAATCAGGTATCACTTCCAGTATGACCTTCACCTTCACCATGTCAGCTTCACGTGCAAGGCGGGGCGGTTGTGAACGTGGTTAGTGACGTCTTGTTATCTCTCATGGTAGAGTTGAGGTCCAAAGGGTTGGGGGCTGGGATCGAAGGTCATTTGTGCAAGAAAAAGGAAAGGAAACCTGTTTCAGCAATAAAGAAGGATTGTTCTGTATTAGAAATTGTGCTGTAGATAAATCATTCATGAGAATGTAACAATGTTTGTCTTGTGACCTTGTGCTTTTGAAGTCAGACAAAACCGTGTAATCAACTTGCACAAAGAAGGGTACACAATGAACATTGAAACACAGACCTAACCCAACAGGGCGGCTTCCTCATGGTGCTTGTTTATTATATATATTTAATCCTGCTTGACACTTTACCCAAGGGAAACTGCCCCTTTTATCAGTTGAATGTTAGCAGCGTTATTTCATAGAGTGTGGTGACTGGTTAGAGAAATTCATGTACTCAACCAATCACGGTTTCAAACAAAATTTTTATGTGCAAAGGACGGCAACCTTCTCGTATGTTAAACCACCAGTAAGCTTTGTACATCTGTGATAACGCCTGTTTTATATTCAAATGAACAAATAAAAGCTTTTATTTTTGTTGCTCTGAAAATAGCAGTTTCTTAATTGGTCCCCTGGAAAACTGTCTGGGACAGCTTCAATCCCAGGAAGGAAGTGACTCCTGCAGGGAAATGGGAAATGTATCTGACTCTGTTTACATAATTTGTTGCATTACTTATTAGTACAGATAAATCATACTTTGAACAATGTTTAAATTTTGATGTGGGCATTTACTGCTTAAAAAATTCCTATGGCAACAAATGTTTTGTGAAATGTTTTTTTTAATTCTTTTAAATATATCTAAATATATTTGTTCACATTTGCTGCAAGTGTACAGATTCTTGGTAAATTTGGGGGACAAAGAGGAAGCATGACTCCTGTGTGCCGATACTTTGTCAGCCGTGTGACAGGAAACCTCTGCATGTCAGGAGGTAGGCCTAGCTGGCTATTCCAACCCAAATTATTTTTGCTCGTTTGACAACCTTAAAAGCTCTATCTCTTGCCCAAGATCTGAGAATTCTTACAGGTTTGTCTCGTGGAAGACAGTACAACCTTCAGCCTAAGGGTTATCAGAAAACAGTGTACACATGAACATCATTAGCACCCAGATCTGCACCCCCAGGTCACCAGGCTTAGCCGAACACCTGCGGGTGAGAAGCCCCGGAGCACCCCGGCCGGCTGAGGACGGCGCCCCGGAAGCCCGGGATTGGGCGGTGCCAGGGACCCGCGGACACGCCCGCGGCCCCCAGGCGGCCCTGCTTCCCACACCTGCACCTGGGGCGCCTCCCTCCGCTCGCCCCTGCACCACGCTGGCTTCCCAGACGTGGCTGGCATCGGCTTGGTGGCAGCTCAGTCGTCTCCCTGTGTGGTCATCCGCCCCGCAAGGTCCTGGGCGCGCTGGCGGGTGGTCCATGCACCTGAGGAGAGGCGAGGGGTGCGCCCTGGCCCCCCTCTTGCGTGCCCGGTGCCCCTAGGAACCCGAGGCCCGCCGTCGTGCCGCCTCTCCGGCTTCCAGGATGAGTCTGGGAACGGAGTGGCGCGCAGGACCGAGCTCGGCGCCGGACTCCGGCCGGCAGGGGTACGCGCGGTGCGAGAGCCTGCTGCACACTTGGCGTTCAGCGGGGGTGGCGAGCGGAGATGGCAGGGACAGCAGACTCCCGCCGCTGCATCCGAGGCTTCGTGGTGCTTCGGGTTTGGTTTGGATTTACTGCCCCAGCTGCAAAGACCTCTGGGCGAACGAGTAACTGGTGCACACCGGCCCACAGGCCTTCCCGCGTCAGGGTTCCATTCTTGCTTCGTGTCCGCACCGGGGCTTGCCCCGCAGAGGCGGAAGGGTAGAACGCCCTAGAAGTTGGGTGGAGGACGGTCTCCCCGTCGTCCGCCCTGGTCTCAGGAGCGCGAACAAGACAGCTCCTGTAAAAAAAAAAAAAAAAAAAAAAAAAAGCTCCCGTGGCAGCGAGCCCCGGTGCAGGTGCAGGGGCCGCTACTCCAGAAGGCAGAGACTGACCGGTGAGAAGGAACAGCACTTTTTCTGAGTGTCGCCAGGGCCTGGCAGCGGGCGTTCGGTGAGCACTGGCTGAATGAAGGACCTCGTCGCGGCTAAGCGGTATCAGGGTCGCTGGGAGCAGAGGGCTTGAAGCCCTGTGGGACATGGATGCTAGACAGACAGTAGGAGCTACTGGAAACAGGAGGAACGTTGCTTATTTTCATAACACGGAAGATGCCAGTGAATCCTGATAGCCACTCAGGCTTTGTAGCCGAACTTAGGAATTCTAATGACCCATTGTTGGGGCCCAAGTATCCCCGCCGCTTGACAAATGACCGGAAACATCAGAAAGAGGGTAAAGGAAGACGATGGGAAAGGGGGAAGGAATTAGAAAAAAGCGATGCGGTTAGCGAGGGGATCGTTTACTCGGCAGACAGTGGCACGTTAGGAAGACCTCTGATGTGGTAGCGCAGTAGAAATGGGAAGTAGGAAGACCCAGCGAGAGGGTGAGGGACACGGGGAGGAGCCGGGTCTGTGTGGACCTCGGTGATCGGAGCCTGGGCAGAGTCTCCCAGCCCTTGCATGCCTAGGACAGAACAGGGTGGCGGGAAATGTTCGCCGTTGTCACGGCCTTGGGGAGGGAATGTTGGGGACACGGGGGGCAGAGAGCGACCTAGACGATGCATCCTG